CCAGCCTCTTAGTTGCTCTCGACCCCCTAGGGGGTCAGTACCCACAGTTTGAGAGACGCTGCTGTAGTAGATAAATGTGAGGAGAGCTCTTCATGTTTGTCAGGCACAGCATTTTGTGTGGACTTCCTGTGTGGCCTTGGTCAAGTTACTTGGACTGTTTGTGCCTTTTGTCACTGTAATAGCTATTACAGTATGTCACTGTTTCACAGGGCTGGGGAAGGATAAATACATGAAATATGGGAGTTGCTCAGCTCCATATAAGCACCCGCATTGTACAGTGGAGGCCTGATTTAAACCAGAGTTCCCAAGTGCTGTTCTGACTGATAATCTTTGCTTCCACAGTGGCTGCAGTGCCATGTGAATTGGTGCTAGCGCCACAGAGTGGTGTTATGGCTACTCAGGGCGGCTCTTTCTGGAGCTCTGATGCCAGCTGCACTGGCAGAGCATGCGGCTTGTCCAGGCAGCACAGCTCAGGGTCATTGTCAAAGAAAGACACAGGCTCCACTTGGGGCTAAGGCGCTTGGCCAGGTTTATTGGCAAAGGAGCAGAGTGCTAGTGTCCCAGCTCCCCAGACACAAGTACAGTGAGATGTGTCTAACCCCAGTAATGGTACTGGCTCAGTCAGCAACCAGAACGCTGCCCCTCAGCCAGCACCAACAGGCCCCTCCTTCCATACATTGACATACACAAGGTGCACATTGCACTCTGTGTGTTGTTACCCCCCTTATCCTTGTACCAGCTCGTTTAAACAAAACCTCTGTGTCCATTATCCCCCTCATCTCTTCACTGATGTGCACAAGGGTCTGTGTGTTCCTCTGCCATCTCTTAGGAGTGTGTGTGTGTGTGTGTGTGTGTGTGTGTGTGTGTTCGGTTACTGCAGAGATCGATATGTTTTTGTACCCTCTTTTCCCATCTGCAATGTGCTTAGATGGTTGGCTGGTACCTAGTATGCTACCATTCTGCCAAGGCCTGGCCTGTTTTGTTTCCCAGCCATTGGTTAATACTGTTATGCTGAGGCCTCCCTTCCCCTCCTTGTTGTGATTTTACTGGGGGATGTTTACTCATCATTCCAAAAAAACATGAACTACAAATATGTACTGGGCTAAACACTTTTCATGGCCATTTTACTTTACCCATCCAGAGATTCGTGCCCAGTGTTCTCCACATTCTTTCATACCACCTCTGGACAGATTTCCCCCAAGTTGTTTTCAATTAAGCAACACTGGGTATCAGGACTGAGTGTCAGTAACTAGACACTGAGCAGGATGGTTTGGAATAACGTGCCTCAAGATGCAATCGTACTGACCCAAGTCCCAGAACACACCCTCTGCCTGGCGCTTGTCCTGCAGTGACATGTGGGCCTTTATTACAAGAGTAAGAAGGACGCCGAGGAGAGGCCTGAAGACTTGTGGGGCTACACCAGGGCAGTGAGTAAGCACAAATGTGAAGGCAAAAGTGCAGGAAGAGTCTCAGCAAGGGGCTCTGGAGGAGACAGAAAAGGGCTGTAACCCTGGCTGTAGCCCTGGCACACTCCAAATACAGAAAGGCCTGGGCTCTGGGTCTCCCTCTGGCCCAGAACAAACAAGTACCAGGGAAGGCTGAAAACAGAGTCGGCAACACAACGGTGCTCCATGACAGAGCCCAGCCAACTCTAATTCCTGGTGGGCCGTGGAATGAAGGCGGAACACAGGCTGGCCCTCCAGAGCTCTTCATCCTGAAGAGGAGGCAGCGTATCCAGCCAGCGTGTGTGCATGTCCAGCCAGTGTGTCTCTGGAGGACATGTTGGGTCAGCTGCATTATATATTGGGCAAGCACACTGGGGTCCACCCAGTCCTGCCAACCATCATCCAGAAGGTCATTGACTGGGAGCATATTTACACTGGCGCTTCACAGCTCTGTGACTGGCTGTGCCCATAGAGTCCATGTTGAGTAGCGATGCTGAGCACCAATTCCTCAGAGCATGGAGGTCCCACTTCTCCAGCAGCAGGGTGCACACAGCTGCCTCTGTCACAGGAGGAGCCACACACTGCCCAGGGGCTCTGCCCAGCTCATGGCAAGGCCCGGGGCAAGGACTTCCCAGCACATGTGGTAAAGTTGCATGATCAGCTATTGCTGCCTGAAGATTGGTTAGTGGGCATCACACAGAGCCCTTCTGAGAACTTGGCCAGAGTGGGAGGAAGTTCTGGCTCAGGGGTGGGGAACCTAAAGTCATGGGGGTGGAAGCCCATCATTGGGGAGCCTGGGGCAGCAGTTCATCCCCCCCCCCCCCCGTTTTTTTTCCTTTGGGGGGGGGGCCCCCCAAC